GGTTGTTCAAAACCGAGCCTGGGCTTACCACTATGAGCGATTCAAGAGGCGTGAGTGGCGGTCAAACTTTTTAATAGGGATTTTCAGGCAAAAGTAACTTTTGACTTTTCACTTTGACCTTTTGTTTCATACTTTAAACGTCCACTATCAGTCACTGTTATGGTATCAATCTGTTCTGTGGTCTTTCGACTGTATTATAGAACTATATTTCCGGGCGAAGTCTCCTCTTATTCACTTAATTTTAACATTTATTCCGAAAAGTGTACCCTGGGGCCCTATGGGCTTAGTGGTCCTTAGGGTCCCGTATGCCCCATCGTATGCCTCAAAAAAATCTTTTTTTCTTTTTCCTTCATGTATTGTGTGCTTGTTTAGTAAAATGCCTCCAGCATTACCATAATCAAATTTCGATTCCGAAGAATTTTTCACTTTGAACTTGCTCTAAGGTTAATACAAACATAAATAATATTTTCTACGGCTGTTTCTCTTGCGACAAAGCTATTATACCAGATCAGGCGCATAAATAGAGACTATATTTATCATTCTCTTTGATTCGAATGTGAATAGCTCTACTTTATTGCCTAATATTGGCAAAGGCTTATGTTTCCCCAGGGCAGGCTCATGGGACCGCAGGCCTGGGGTCCCATGAGCTTTTGCAGAGCTTTGCTAAAATCTCTTCTACTTTAATATTAAGGGTGCTACGAACTCGATATGAGTATTTTTAGAAAGAACAAAGACCAATGTAACATCTTACGTCGAGAAATAGACAATATCGTTCAAAATAAGCAGTCAGGGTCAATTTGAAAAAATGTTCGCCATGGGACCCCAGGCTCCCTTACAGTGCGCTTCCGCCCGGGGGATACAATCATCACACTATGATTGTATCCCCGTGCGATGATTGTACCCTCCCACTTCAGTGAGCATCCAGGTGGGGATAACATCACCACACTATGATTGTATCCCCGTGCGATAGTTGTACCCTCCCGCCGCAACGAGCCTCCGCCCGGGGGATACAATCATCACACTATGATTCTACCCCCGTGCGATAGTTGTACCCTCCCACTGCAGCGAGCTTCCAGGTTGGGGATACAATCATCGCACTATGATTTTATCCCCATCTTCCTTATTCGCAGGCA